CTTTACAGGCTCTTCCTGTGCGTGTGGAGACTGACTTTCTTCATGTGGAGATATTTGTTTAACCACTTTAACAGGCTTTGGTGGTGTAATTGGCCTTTTATGGTGTTTAATTTAGGGCAAGCCGTTTTCTTATGACCCTCTTGATGGCAGAAGTAACAGACAAGTTTTCCTGTGGCACTCTCTGGAATGCGGTCCCTCCTGACAGGATTTTGGTTTCCCACGTCAGTTTTCTCTTTTGGAACCCATTCCCTCGGTCTCTTGGTGGCTCCTGAGCTATGACTCACATTCCAGTCATGCTCCATCTCATCCAACCAAGCCGTGAGATCTGACACTTGTTTAATCTTCTTGTCTTTAACGAACCACCTCATTTGTATGGGGATTAGTCGATAAAACTGTTCCATACAAACTAAATGCTTTAACTCCTCAAACATGGTCGTTTTACTTCCTTCAAGCCATCTCTCTAAGGCTTTTTCCACTCGGCTTCCCAATTGTGAAAAGGTTTCTCCTGGCTTTCTTTTGATCTCCCTGAACATTTTCCTACTTTGTTCAGGAGTCAAGCCAAACCTCAGCTTCACCCTTTCTTTAAATATGAGGTAACTTGCGCTCTCTGCCTCTCTCAGATCAACGTAAACCTCACTAAGTTCCCCACAAAGTAGTGGTCTCAGGTACACCATCATTCTGGCTTCAGGTGCCTCGAAATCATGGCAAGCCCTTTCAAAGCTAGCCAAAAATGACTCTACACAATCCCCTTTTACATAACGAGGAAAGTTCTTTAAAACTCTTTGCATGTTAGAGTCCTGCTGTTGGCTCAAGTTAGGAGTTCTCTCTCTGTCTCTCAATTGTAGTTCTGCCATTCTCTCCTCATGTTTTAAACGTTCTCTTTCTACCTCAACCATTCTTTCTCTCTGCCTCTCTTCAGCTTGCATTCTTTCTCTTTCCATTTCAGCCTGAATCTTTTCCCTTTCCAATTCCATCATTCTTTCCTTCTCCCTTTCTTGAAACTCAAGTTCTTTCAACCTCATTTCTAGCCTGAGCTTCTCAATTGACAAAGAGGTAGCTATTTGTTCTTGTCTACCCTCTTGTATTTGGGTCTCAGTTTCCTCAACTACAGAAGCAGTTGTCTCCCCTTCTCTTTCTGGTTCTTCAGGAGTACCCTTCTTTGTTTTAGGTGGTGCCATGGTGCCTAATGTGTGTTAAAATGGCGCTAGAGGTGTTCTGTCTCTGAGGTAATTCTTAGTGTCACGTTTTGACAAAAATTTACCTCAGGATTCCCACAAAAATGCTCTGGATTGAGATATTACACGATCCACACTGCTGCAAACCAATTATAATACCTCCTCTTAATGGCCGTCTGGGCAGGGGGTCAAACAAACCCACCGCTGCCCCACCAATTATAATAACTGGGCAGATGGCAATACGATCAATCCCACCATCTAACCCCAATTATAAAGGCAGGCTTTATGGCCAAACAATATGACTGGACAGGGGGCAAACAGATCCCACCAACTGTCCCTCCTTTAATAAGGAATTCACACCACTTTGGCACCTAGATAACACTTGAGGAGATGACTCTCTATTTAAAACCTTCGCTGCCACCATAAACCAAATGAACAGGAACCCTCTAGCTGGTTAAAATAAGAAAAGGCTTTTTAGACCACCAAGTACTGTGTCTTTTAAAAGGGCTTCTTTGAAGGAAAACAGGTGAGGTTGATTTAAAAAGAAAAGGGACTAAATCCACAAATGGCACGTGACTCAGGCTTAAGTTTCAAAAATAACAAGGAAAGTTTATTGAAGTAAAAGTTACAGAATGAAGAGAATGCAGTTTCATAAGCTTGGCTGTTACAATTAAAGTGTTCTTGTTCTTAAAAGCGTAACGGTTGCATGAGAGAATGGTTCTTTCCTTACAGTTACTATTACAAAACCCAGCTATTTCTTCCCTAAATAGCTGTAACCAGTTTGCCACAGCCTATTTCACTGTGCAAACTTCAGGCAAACTGCCTATTCTAATCACGAACTCCTAATAGCTTCTGTCACCCTGCTCTAACTCTAACATCAACCAGAACTGAACTGAACTCACTAAATAAGCTTCTTGCTTTCCCTCCAACAGTCTAACTCCGCCCCCCTTTAACAAACCAATCCTGGCTGTTTCAGGGCTGGCTCAGGCCTAGGCCACTCCCCCTCTCTGAACTGGAGCTTTCCCTAAACTAAGATGGCTCCTGCTGCCCTCTGCCAGGCCTTCTAAGCTGAAACTACCTAGCCTGTCTCTCCTAGGCCCTGCCACCCCGGCTGGCAAGGTAAGGGATCTTCACACATGGCCCTTAAAATTGCAACATTGGGGGGGGGGATGCAATAAAGGAAATTAGAACTACCAATACTGTAAACAATTTATATCCAACCACTCTGCTGACACCGCAATTTTAATTGTTAAACAAAAAACTCATCATAAAAAAGAATGACTCAAGTGGAAAATAAATAAAAGATAGAAAATATTACTGCTAAATTAAAAACAATCTGCATGACTGTTCTTTGCATAATGTTTACACAGTAAGCCATTCTACTGGTTACTGTAAAACTATTTATCTAAATCATAGGCAGGTGAGTGAAAGTCATTTTTTTCAGGCACGTATTGCCAGAGGATGGGAAAGCACTGTGATCCATTTCAATTAGCCTTTGCAACAGCACAGCACCACAGAGGGAACATCCTGACCATATAGACCAGTGGTTCTCCACCTTCCTAATGCATAAGGGGCATCCCTGCCTGGTGCCTTTTTCGATGTTTATGAAATCCGTCTCTTGACCATTGACCCGGATTTTAGCCCTTTGCTTGGAATAGATCGCACTTATCGCATTATTGAAATGGAAGCCCATGTCTTTTTCCCTAATTGTCTGGAGCATGAAATCCCAACTAACGCAATCAAATGCTTTCTCTGTGTCGAGAAATAACAGACCCAGCTCCTTTTGTGTGTTTGTTGCTTAATACTCTATTATATTCAGGATTGTTCTTAAGTTCTCGCTCATATGTCTGGTTGGGAGGAATCCCGTTTGGTCCTCGTTGATGATGTTATTCAGGAGTTTCTTCAATCTGTTCGCAGTTATGCTGGCGAAGATCTTGTAATCCGTATTCAGCAGCGAGATCGGTCTGTAATTTTTTACATTTTCTGCATCCGTTGCTTCTTTGTGTATTAAGGTGATGGTTGCTTGTTTCCATGATTCGGGTATTCTTGCTTCTGTTAAGATGTTATTGAAGATTTCTTTTAGATGGGGAATCAATTCTTCCTGGAATACCTTGTAATACTTGGCTGAAAACCCGTCGGGGCCCGGGTCCTTATTATTCGGGAGGTTCTTTATTGCTTTCCTGATTTCCTGCTCCTCAATTGGTTTGTTGAGGGATTCTCTTTCCTCATCCTTTATTTTTTCTAGTTTGCGTTTTGCCAGGTATTCGGTTATGTCTTCCATCTGGATCTTGTCTCTTTGATATAACTCGTCATAGAACTCCTTAAATTGATTTTTGATCTCCTCTTCCGTATAATAACTTTTCCCATTTCTTGTTATTTTAAAGATGTACTGTTGTTGCCTTTTCTTCAGGAGTTTCTTAGCGAGGAGTTTCCCTGGCTTATTTGCGTTGGTAAAATAATTTACCTTCATGCGTTTTAGATTCTTCGCTAGTTTTTCTAGCTGGAAGGAGTTCAGTTCTTTCCTCATGAGTTCCAACTCCAGTTTAATTTTCTTGTTTCTTGGTTTCTTCTTGAGTTCGGTTTCCTTGGCTTTTATGTTCTTCATGAGGGTGACAAGCTCCTCATGTCTTTTCCTATTTCTGATTGACCCTTGTTGTATGAGGTGCCCCCTCATGACCGCCTTGCTGGCGTCCCAAATTACTTCTGCCCTTGTTTCTTCGTTTTTGTTAAGTTTGAAGTTTTCCCGGATATGCTTTTTGTTGGTCTCGATGTCCTCCTCAGTTCTTAACAGGTATTCATTTAATTTCCACTTTCGTTGGTGGTTGGCCCCCTGGAGCACTGTGAGGATAGGGCAATGGTCGGACAAAGTTCTGGGTAGAATTTGAATCTTATCTATCTTAGTTAGTACGGTGTTCGATGCCCAGAGCATATCAATCCTTGACCAGGATGCATGCCTATCTGAGAAGAAGGTAAAGTCCTTTCCAGTTGGGTTTCTAGTTCTCCAGGCGTCCTGGAGGTATAGTTCCTTCTTCAGTTGGAGAAAACTGGCCGGTAATTTACCTCCCTTTGTGTCTCTCCTATTCTTTTTTGACCTATCCAGATTACAGTCCATTACCCCATTAAAATCTCCCACTATAATTATTTCCGTATGGGTCTGTTCGCCAAGCTTCTTTTTAAGTTCTTTAACAAAATTTGTTTTTGAACCTACGGGAGCGTAGATGTTACAAAGTAATATCTCTTGTCCTTCTTTTTTAATTTTAATGCCAATCATCCTCCCCTCTTCATCTTTGAACGCCAGAGTGGCGTTAATAGAGTTTTTTACATAGATTACTACTCCTCTTTTTTTTTGTGATGCAAGTGAATAAAATTCCTTACCGAGTTGTGGCTGTGTGAGATATGTGCTATGTTTTGAAATGTAGAGCTATGAGGTCATAGTTTCCTTTTTTGAGTAAGTTAAAAATTAGCCTTCTCTTATTTGGTGTGTTCAGGCCATTGACGTTGTTGGAATATATTTTCAGCTTACTCATCACAGGTTGGGTTCGTTACATGCTGTGAAGGTCCCATGTCCTTCTCCTCCACCTCATCCTCCAATGACTCTGGTCTTGGTCTTTTCTTCTCTTCTTTCCTCCACTCCTTATTCTGCTTCCTGGCCTCTGTTGTTTCATATTTCGTTTTGTTTGACTCCTCCTCTCTTGATGCATGTGGTGTTGTTTCAAGATCCTTTAGGAGGGTCTTATGAAATTCCTTAGCTTTTTCTTCTGAGGTTAACCAGAATTTGTTGTCTTTGTATGTCACTTGTATGCCTTCTAGTCTTTCCCATCTAAATTTAATCCTGTGTTTTTTGAGTTCGTCTGTCAGGAAATAATATTTTTTCCTTTTGTTCATTGTCATGGTCGAGAATTCCTTGAGTATAATCACTTTTCTCCCTTTAAAGGTTATCTGGTCTTTAGGTTTCATCTTGATAATTTCATCGCGAACACTTCTCCTACAGAAGGTGGCCACTATATCTCTTGGAACCTTGTTCCGCCTAGCATAGTTCGAGTTAACTCTTAGAATTGTGTCTATCTCCTTGTTCATTTCTTCCATGGTGGTGTTAAGCATTCCCATCGTTATTTCGGCTATTGTTTCTCTCAGGTTTTCTCCTTCTGTTTCTTCTATGTTCCTAAATCTTAGTTGGAAGTCTGTTTCTCTACAGGCCCACAGTTCTTGCTGTCTTTCTAGTTTATCTCTTGCTTCTTCCAATCTCTTTATTTTCGTTTCTGTGATGGCTTGTTTTTTCTTTGAATTGGCGTTGTCTTTCTTCAGATCTTTTATTTCCTCCTGTACGCCACTGACCTCTTTTTGTATCTGGGCCATATCTTCTTTCATTTCTTGTCTTAGTTTGCCCATTTCATCTTTGAATAGCTTTTCCATGTTCTGCTGTGTTTTCTCCTGGCTGTCTTCTATTTTCTTTTCTATTTTGTCCTGTATCTTCAGCATTTCCTGCAGCAACTCTTTGAGTGTTGTTTCCGCCTGTGTGGAGAGTCTTCTAGCTGGAGTGGGAATTGCAGCTGTCATGGGGGCTGTAATTGTTGTTGTTGTAGTTGTGGGTGTGGGATTTGTTATTTTATTTTGTTTCCCCGCTGGGGTATTTTTTTCCGCCATGCTATCCCTTCCCCTTCTATTTTTAAGTTCGCCGGCTAGCAGTTTTTTACTTGGTTGTCTTTGATGTAACAGTACAGTGGGAGGAAGGAGGGTTTTCTTTTTTTTTCTCCCCTTTCTCTTTTCGCCTGTTAAAGATAGCCCTTTTTCTCTCTTGCCAAGACTGTCTTTCAGCTCTTCTGGTGGTTCCAGCAGTTCCTTACCCCCCTACTGTGTCTTTCTTCTTTTGTCTTCCTTCTTTTAACTCCCAGTTGTCCGCTTCTTTTCTCCAGTCTCCTCTCCTTTCCTCCTCTAATTCCCCGTTTGTAAATATTACTCCTATGGGGTTTTCGCTTAGCCGTTCTTTCTTATTCTTATTCTTTGTATTTTACTCCCTGCGTGTCCCCCTCCCCTCTAGTGGCTCCCCTGAGCCCCGCGGTTCTGTTCGCTTATTCTTTAGCACCCTTTCGGAAGCCTTCTTTTCTCTACCTACCGGGTATTCCCAAAGGCCTTCTGTTCCACGCGTTGCCTAGTTCCCTCTGATTCTTCTTCTTCCTTTCATTCGTCGCTGGCTGCCTTTGGCCCCCTTGATGGACGCCCTTTCCTTGCCCTGGGCCCTCCGCATTGGTTCTCTCTTCTTTCGCTCCTCTTTCGCTCCCCTGCTACTCTCGCGCGGGTTTGGCGCACTCGCGCGAGATCACGCGAGATTGCACAGGTTGTGAGAGGATAGCCCAGACGTATCGCGGGAGTCTCGTTGCGCGTCCCCACCCCGTCTTCCGGCTTCCTCCCGTGGCTTACTCTGTCTCCTCGCGAGCAGGGGCTAGGTAGAGAGGGGTTTCTGTAGAGTCTACTCGGGCGTTAGACTGTGGGCACGTGGCCAAAGTGAAGGCTGAGAAGGACCTCGGCTGGGTATGTCTTCGGGGTGCGGGGAGAAGAGGGTGGGGGTGGGAATGGGGTTGTTGGAGATCGAGGAGGGGATCCCTGTGAAAGAACGCGGGCAAAACGCCGGACGAGCGTGGGGTTGAATAAAGGAAAATAAACACTCACATTTCTTATGGAGCGCTCTTGTATTAATCCCCTTCCTGGTCTTTTAGCTTGTTAGGCTTCTTGTCCTCTATCGTTGTATTTAAGGCTCCTATCTCACTCATACAGTTGAATGCTCCCTTGAGCTCCTTTTAAGTTAGCCCAGTTTTGACTGCGGTAGTCCGGTGTTTGTGCCTCCTTTTCTTTCTTTTCTTTCTCTTTCTTCCTCTCTGCCGAGGGTTCGCCCGGTGAGTTTGTCAGTGGAAGTTTGAGGTCCTGCTTTTCTATTTCTTTCTTCTTCTTTTTGCTCTTACATTCCTGTCCTTGTGGAAGTGGAAACTGGCGGCGTTACGGCTCTTCCTAGCCGTGCCTTCCCCCTGGGCGCCGACCCAAATTGCCAGGCGGGTTTTCTGACCTCCTTGAGGGGGGTCAGTTCTGCCCGCCCCCGCAATTCCTGGGCTTTGCAACCAAACCGACCTCTTGTCTGTCGGTTTGTGGGGTTCCTAGTCCCCTATCCCATCTGGGGGATGCTCAGGTCCTCCTGCGGCTCACGGAGCCTCCAAGGCCTGCTGCCGCCGCCATGCTGCCTCCACTGAAAGTCGCTACTGTTATTAATCTTAATGTAAATATCTGAAATGCAGGATGTATTTTCATTAACTGGACCAAATTTGGCACAAATACCCGATACGCCCAGATTTGAATACTGGTAGGGTTGGGGGGGGGGTGATTTTGTCATTTGTAGTTGCTGGTATTTATAGTTAACCTACAACCAGAGAGCATTCTGAACTCCACTAACAATGATAGTAGAGTAGGCTCTCTGCTTTCATAGTTTTAGACCTCATCACATTAGAAAATAACCTCTTTCTATCAGTATTCATCCTGTAAGTTTTTTTCTGACTAAATGCATACTAAATGCAGATGGGATGCATACTGACCCCATTACACCCAAATACTATGATTCTTACCTTCAGAAAATGCTGTGCTTTGTCCCATCACACCACAAAAGGCTGGCTCTCTCAATCCCATACGTCACTCCGTGAACTTTTCTTTTTTAAAAAAAATAATAATCTAAATTTGTGTGGTAATGTTGCTTTGTGAGATTTGAAAACATACTCATGCCTGTGTAGTAAATGTACCCACCTGATCAACACCTTTGGCACAAAATAAAGAGCTCTATAATACAAAGTTCTGAGAAATTTCTAAATGATAGATTATTGATTCATTAGATATGGGTCCTTTGCTGCATCTACTGATGATGATGATGCAGTTACTACTCTAGTTCTATAAGGCTGAACTTGAGGTGATGTAGAGACAATAGCAGCTTCTGACAACACAACACAATACAACAGAGGAGGAAATGACTCAGATTTTGGTTTATAAATTACAAAAATATATAATGAGGTAAAGTGGCAATTTCCAATTTCTGCATCTTGGAGATCTTTCTCCTTCACTGTCCCAAACAGAAATGGCAGCCACTTCCATCATAAACAGTTCAGAGTCACGAGACTCCGCTTCCAGGCACGCCCCTGATGACAAGTTGCATTGTTGCTGACAGGATGCATACCGATTTCCCAATCACAAACAAAAACTGTGGTTTAGCAATGGAAAACCCTGTAGTATTTCAAATACTACAATTTGAATATTGTCTAGAAATACTCAATTTCTGCAGTGTTTTGTAGACAGATTTTGACAGATTACTGATGGGATAGGGTAAATTTGAAGTGATGGGATCCATTGGAAATTGTCCTTAATCAGTCTCAGACACTGAGTATTTCCAAATGTGATGAAGTCCTTAGTCCAAACTGGAGCTTGCGAAAGTGGTGGATGTAATGTAGAGGGTAGAATTCAGCACCTTTTTGATAGCCCCTTTAAAGGTCAAACTATAAATTCAATGCAGATTTATTGACATCAGAGCCATTTTTTTCCTTTCACTTGCATCCTGGTGTGATGTGGCTGCTGCAAGGTGACACTTGAGGAAAATGCCTGATGGAGCAGTTTCCTCTGGTATGTGTCCCCGAACCTTTGCCACCCTCAGTTTCAGCCATTAGATTACTTTTATGGCAGGCTACACTATGAACCTCCCTTATGTAGATAACATTTCCTACAGAACTTGATAGGACAAAAAAAAATCTCACTGAAAGCGCCAGTTTTGTTTGTATTTGAAACACAAAAATTGATAACCTCATTTCAGTACATGGGCAAGTTATGCCTGTAATTAAATATGCATGATCTACCTGCCCACATATTCAGAGCACAGGTTTCTTAGATTATTACAATATCATTCATACACACACACACATTTTGACCTGGTCATTTTGGGTGGCAGAATCTTGGTCATGTCATCCAAAATGTAAATTCCTCAAAAGCTGAACTGTTAGTGTTTCCCAGATTCCTACATTTCAGTATTTATTCTCACTATTCTTAAGAGTGCTGCTGTTATCTTCATATTACAGATGGAGCAATACTAAACATGTGTTTTGCCACAATGATTTCACACTATATTTAAGATTTCATTATTTTCACCTCCCTAATTTTGTTTGTAAACTCTTAGTGTCCCTTGGAAACGACCAGCATCCATAGCAAAATTACAGCTGCATCCTCTCTGATCTCCAACTCTTTGGGAAGCAAAAAAGACTATCTGCACAGGTTTAATGCTGCAGGAAGATGTTCTAATGGCACGCAAAATGAGTTCGCCATCTGGTTTCACATCAAGAAAAAACAGTTTCTATTGTTTCCTTTGACTGGATTATGTAAAATATATTTCTTTGTACAAACAGCAAACTCAGCAGTGACCTGAATGTTGCTTTTGCATAAGAATCATTCTTGTTACTTTGAAAACCCTGACTGCTTGCATTTGAAAAAACAAAACAGAATTTATTATGATGGTATGCCTGCACATTAGTTATATCAGTTTGATACATTTTTAACTGGCATGGCTCCACCCTGCAGAATCCTAAGATACATACTGTACTTTGGAAAGTTATTTAGACTTTTCCACTGCAGTTGAGACAAGAGTAGCCGAGAAGATATATTCTGGACATTTTAACAACCCTGAGGAATTCTGAAGAACTGTAAATATATTTTAGATGTTAATCTTGTGGGCAGTTTTTAAAGAAATAATAAACCCAATAAAATAAATAAAAGGAGGAGGTATGAAAGAAAGGCAGCTATTTTTTGAAGAAAAATACAAAACAATGTCTGTTCTATGGAAACATTTAGGATATTTTTAACAAGTAAAGGCTTAGCTGTTGAGAATATAGGGAACATGAAGACACTGTAGTTTGATGTGGGAGGCCAGGGTTCAAATCCTTGCTTGGCCTTGGAAATCCTCTGGGGAACCTTGGGCAAAGCACATTTTCTCGACCTCAGAGGAAACTGATAGCAAACGCTGTCTGAAAGATTATTCCTAGGATTTGTTACAATCATATTAGTCTTGGCATTCGTTGGAAATGACTTAAGGGCACATTGTAAAAAGTGTTAATGTGGTTGCTTGTATGTTCTCTTTCTTTCAGGAAGCCAAATTTCTCTTCTTCTACAAGTAATGCAAGATGCCTCTTTTCAACAGTTTTCATGATAAGTATCTCTGACGATGGCAGTTGTGGTCCACATTAACCTAAGTTGTTCGACAAAAAAATTAAAGTCTGATTTGTTTTACACTTTGGCAGGAACAAGAACCATTTATGTGTCCTTATATGAAGCTAAATATATTGTGTGGAGTACAAGCATTTGGCAGCAAAACTGATTATGAAACCATTACACAAAGTGTGTGTCTTCTGATGATAACATGTAATATTGTTAAAACTCAGAAATTACTCCAGAGTCTGCAGAACATACATTCATTTACTTTTTAGTTATTTTGCCATGGCGGTCTTTTAATTTTTAATACAAAGAACAAGTCATTTCTTGTCTCAGGT